CAATGTGAATGAGTCCGCAGTAGCGTGCCACTTTCACCGCCCAGAAGTGCACGGGAACTGGGCCGTCGGGTAGTGGTGCCCGAGGCGTCTCCATGTACCACTTGCGCTTAGTGGTGCCCGAGGCGTCTCCATGTACCACTTGCGCTATCTTCAATGTGTAGCTTTTGCGTCGATACCAGGATCCCCCAGTGAAACACGCACTCAGTGGTAGAGAACCACCAGAAGTGAAACTGCTCTAATAAGTAGCGCGTTTGGCTTTGGTTAGGCGTGGGCTGGCTGTGTGGCTGCTCGGGCGGAGTCGGGAGAAGGCGCCGAGGTATCAGTGCCCTCTAGCCCCGTTCCCATACATTTTTGACCGGAGAAAGTGGCACGCTACTCCAGCTGCGGATCCTTTCATCTCGCACATGGCAAGAGGGAAGGGTCTACATAGGTGAGTGTTTAGTTGTCTCTTAAGCATCCCTTTGCGCAAAACTGGAATTGTTGGAATGCCCTTTTTGCTCAGAGAAACTGGTTCTGCCGCCGTAGTTTTTTTGCCTCATAGGTTTAAGCAGTAATCATCCCATTGCGACGATCTATGTCAAAGAGTCTGCCAAATGCCTCCTTTTCCCCTCCTTGGAGGGGAAATTATTGTTATTCGACTCAGCTTGGAACATTGCTCTTCAGAATTCGACTTGAAAAGGAGCGCCAAGGACAGTGTACTTCCATCGAAGATAAGATGAAACGTCTCCAAAAACATCAGGCTCTCGAAGCAGAATTGGCGGCGAATCGTAAACGGGTAGACCAAGTACTACAAAGAGGAAAAGAACTTCATGCAAAGCATAGAGATGCAGGGGTTTGTCTTTTTACCCTTCTTTCAGGCGTACTGCTCTCAATCAAAATTCTTATTTTCGGATCCAGAAGCTATAAGTTTATGATATTTGGTTGTAGATCACGTCTCGCTGTGATGGGCTGTACAATCGTTGGATGACCCTAGTAGAAGCATGTGCTGAACAATCGCGTGCATTGGAAGAAGCTCGAGATCTGCTTACTTTCAGGCAATTAGTAGGTTTCATATATTGTCAAGCAACTTCAAATTCCGTTTTGATCGCATAGTCTCAATTTGAAATTTTTTTCCTTATTTAAGGTTGACCGCGTGATGTCATGGGCCCATGAGCGAGAGCTCATGGTGACTGCCGGAGAAATGGGACGTGACCTGGAGCACTGTAAACTTCTGATTGATCGGTATGTCTTTGAAGTTTTGGAACAAAGGTAGTTTGGGGGGGGGGTATGTCGAATGGCGCGGCTGTCAGCAGTCATACTGCTACTGGGCTGCATTGACTATAGTTGCAACCTCCAACACCTGAACCGGACAACTCGTCCAGATCGCTCAACATTTTGGTTGACGTGACTGATCAAGCTACATTAATAGGATGCAAGCATGGACGCTAAATCACATACGGATTGAATATTGGGTAAAGAATTCACTTCCGCTCCTAAGCTGTTTTCCTTTTTCGCCTCAATATCTTTCTCATCTATGTGGAGATGACGTCAATCAAGACATTAAGCGATCTGGACGAGTTGTCCAGCTTAAAACACGGGCGTTGGAGACAAGATTTAGGTGGCAATATGGCCAATGCGCCGCGGTAGCAGTATATTACTGACAGCCGCGCATTCGACCGCCTTCTCTAGTTTGGAGGGGGGGGGAGAGATGGTGAGAATACCTCACTTTATAGTGCCTGTCTTGTCTGCTACGTCTTTCCGATGCCTCCGTGCAGGTGTATATGCTGAATTTGGTCCTGTAAGA